AATGTTGTCTTCTTTTATAGGTAGCATATTGCATAAATGCTTTATGTAGTCATAGATAAGTTATAATGGTTTACTCTTCAATTAGCTTTGACCAGCTCCTTTACCCTTTTGATAATCAACTTTTTATTCAATTATTTTCACAGATTGAAGTTTTTAAGTATATCTGATATCCATATTAGCCTTTTTGTTTTGTATTTATAGGTTAAATTTCAAAAGTCTCTCAACTGTTGTATATATGACCATTTTAATTCCATAGTATAATATTGCTCTAATTTCGTCCCTCAATTATATAAAATTAATCCAAAGTGATCCCTTCAGGATTAAATTAGGATCAGTTTTGTAAAGTCGAAAGATTAAATTGAGATCAATTTTATATCACAATTATAACATGAGGGATTATTTTGGATCAATTTTGTATAGTCGAGGGACTAAATTTGGGCAACATGATATTCTGGGACTAATTGATCATACAAGAACAGTCTAGGGACTATTTTGAGTTTTTTTATCATTTTTTTATTTAAGCTTCTTATCAACATTAAAGAAGTAGCTGACAATATTGATTTTATTGTAATTTATAAATTTATGCATAGTAGTAATCTTTTGATAAAAACTTTTAATAGTAATAGGTATGCTTTTTTTTTCTTATGTCCTAACATATTATCACTGTAAATGGTAATACTTCATTGCTGTGTGATAATTTATTATGGCATTTTCACCCCTTAAAATATTGTTGTTGCTGGGCCTCAAGTTTTGAATGAGAAAAGTGGAGGGTTGTGTTAGATAGTCGACAACAAACATAATATTTGTCAAACAATCGTAACATGAATCATTTAATACATTATGCTAATGCTAGTGCATTCCTTGAAAGCGATACGTTGTATGAACTAAATACAACGAAAAGTGTGCAAATATTGTTGTAATGGTGCCTGCGTGTAGTGTTAAATAAACAAGGGTTCTCACATCATGGACATATGAAGACAATGAAGCTAGTCCTTGAAACTACGGGTGTTAAAATGGATTTTTAGGTCAAGTTTGGGTCCACCCCCCCCACCCCCCTCCACCCCTTAAAAAAAGAAGAAGAAAAGACATGCCCCCCACTACTCCAACCCGAACCCGACCCAATTACACAAATGGATCAGAAATTTGAACTCGGAACCGCCCCAAGTTTGAGTCAACTTGACTCGACAAGCAGACCCAGGCAAGTGCAGAGCACGGGTTGAGCGTGTGTTGAGGGCGGATGGGCAGGAGCGGTACGGTTGTGGGCGAGATCTCGCCTCACGCAGGTTGGACTACTGGTTCGCTGGAGTTTGGACGCAGTCACGCAGGCGGGAGCTCCAGAGCGAGATGCAAGCGGGAGCGGGTTAACTTGGTGCGATCACGTGGGTGGAAGCAGAGGTTGGGGGTCACGTAGGTTGGAAGTGTCTGTACATGGATGTTGTGCACTATGCAAGTGTGGTCATGCTAGCAGGTTCACACGAGGCAGTTATGAAGGCCATTTCTGGGCTGAAGGTTGACCTGGATCAGACCTGATTTTTCAAATGAATCGGGAATTAAAACCCGAACCTGAACCGTTTGCTTAACGGGTCGACCCGAAAATTTAAATTTTTGAATTGGTTTGGGTCAGGTTTTGGGGTCAGGTCATAATTTGACACCCCTACATGAGACTAGAATCAAGATAACAACTTGGAATATGCGTATTCTTACAGGCAAATTAATGGAATAACAAATATTATGATTCATGAGAAAATAAATATTTTGTGTCCAAAAAAATAAATGGGTTGGGGAAAAGATTGAGGAGATTGATAGTTTAGGAGTTAAATTTTGGTATTTAAGTAGGAATATTATTTGAAATAATGTATGTGTGATTATAAATAATAGTTTGAAAAATAATATAGTAGAACTTATTATGATTCAAGATAAAATTATGGTTTTAAATATTGTGGTTGATGTTAAGATTATTAATGTTATATTTGTTTATGTTCTCCAAATATATTTGGATATGTGTTCTAAAATGAAATTTAAAATGATTTAGAAGATTTAATGCAGAGGCTATCTCTTGAGGAAATTTTTTTTATTAGAATAGATTTAAGTGGACATGTTGGTAGAGTTGAAGATTTAAGTATTTATATTGATTATGAGTTTAAAACTACTAATAAAGGTGTTGAGACAATATTATATTTTATTATAACTTATGATTTTGTAATTGTTAATATACTTTATTTAAGAAAAGAGACGAGTATCTCATCATATATAAGAATGGATATAGTAAAATCCAGATTTATAGTTTTCTTTTAAAAAATAGATGTTTTAAATTGTAAAATAATTTCGAGTGAAGTTTATATACCTAGCATCACTTATTAGTTTTGAACATTAAGATGAAGGGATAAAAAATGAAAAATAAAGTAAAATATTATCCTAGAACTAGATGATGATATTTAAAAATGTTAATAAAAAGTATTTTTGAAAAATGAAAAATAAAGCAAAATATTATTCTAGAATCCGATGATGATAAAAATGTTAGTAAAAATATTTTTAAGAGAAAAATTTTTAAGATTTGGGTTATTCATGAGGAAGATAATGTTATATGGGAAAAAATATGTATTTTATATTAAAAATTTTGCAAACAATGAGCTTGGAGAATAAAAGATAAAATATCATAATAGAAAAAATAATTGGTGTTGGAATTAAAATGTATAAGAAAATATCAAAAATAAGAAGCTTTATTATAATAATTGATTTAGATGTAAAAGCTTGAAAAATTGGAGAAGATATATGGGCCCGATAGGGATTCTAAGAAAATAATATGTGATGTAAATAAAATTTTTTTAAGTGATTTATATAATAAATTAAATATTGAGGACAAAAAATATATGGATAAGTTGGTCAAGAAAGGAGATAGTATAAGTAAAAGATTTAGTTCAAGTGAAGTGCTTTAAGGATGATGATTAAAAAGTGTTTTTCTTAGAAGAAGATATTCAATATAGGTGGATGAGATATTTTAATAAACTTTTCAATGAATGTTGTGAGAATACAATTAATTTTAGTAATCTTAGCACCCTAAATAAAAAAAATCTCTTTTTTATCATCTTATTTGTTTAATCAAAAGTTGGAGAGGCTTAAAAAAATGAACTATGGAAAAGCAGTAGGATCTATGATATTCTTCTAATAGAAGTTTGAAAATACTTAGGAGATCAATGAATTTTTTGGAGAAAGAGTGTTGGTTCCTATTTTTAAGAATAAAGGTGATGCACAAGTGTGCTAATTACAGAAGAATTAAGTTAATGCGTCATACATTAAAATTATGGGAGAGAGAGTAATTGAGCCTCGATTTTGAATTGATTCTAATATTTTTCAAAATCAGCTTGGATTTATGTCATGTAGGTTTACTATGGAAGCTCTGCATTTTTTGAGAGGTTTGATGGAGAATTACAGTGAAAAGTAGGATCTGCATATGATATTTTTAGATTTAGAGAAAACATAAGATAAAATTTAAATAAAGGTGCTCGGATAGTTCTAGAAAAGAAAAGAGTTAGTAATGCTTATATTGAAGTCATTAAGTATATGTACATAAGAGTTGTTACTTGTATTCAAACTAGAGGTGGTTTGACCATGTATTTTTCTATTTCAGTTGAATTAGATCATATCTTTTGGCTTTAATCATGGATGTTCTTACTGAACATTTGCAAGATGATGTACCTTGGTGTATGCTTTTTGCTTATGATATTCTTCTTGTTGATAAGATTAGGTAGGGAGTTGATGAAAAACATGATTTATGGAGGTTAACTTAGAGTCAAAAGGTTTTCATCTGATTAGATCTAAAATCTAATACATGGCGCGTAATAGATCTAGTGGTGGGATTGTGATGTTAGATGATTAAATCATTAGAAGAGGGCATGTTTTATATATCTTGGGTCTATTATTCAAAGCGATGGTAAAATAGATGGGGATATTATTAGTAGAACTCATGTTGGGTGGTTGAAGTGGAGGAATGCATCTGGTCTATCGTGCGATAGAAAGTATCCCTCAAACTTAAAGGAAAATTTTATAAGATGGTGGTGAGACTTGCAATTCTTTATGACACAAAATGTTGGCCATTAATAGAAAAGCATGAAATGAAGTTAAGTATTGCAAAAATGAGGATGCTTAGGTGGACGAGTGACTTTACACTTAGAGACAAAATGTGAAACGAGTATATATTTGAAGGTTGGAGTAGCTCCAGTGGAATATAAGATTAGAGAAAGTTACATCAGATAATTTGGTCACATACAATGTCAGCCTTCTGATGACCTTGTTAGAAGAGTAGATATATTAGATCCGGCCTATGCTAAGAAAGATGGAGGTAAAACTAAAAAATTTGGTTAAGAAGTATTAAAAATGACCCGTTTAATAAATTTAAATGAGATTTTAACTTTTAATAGGGCACAATGGAGAAAATTGATTCATATAGCTGACCCATGTAATAGGATAAAGGTTTGTTGTTGTTGTTATTAATCTTTTGACTTTAAAAAGGAGAACATTTCTGATGAACTCTCGGATGTACAAGCCTCAGCCTATTTTGAAATGGACCCGAGTAATTTCCCTTATTATTTATTCGACTTTGTTCTGTTTTGTAGTTATTATCAGTTTATTTACTATTTATATCTGATGAAATCCAGATATGTGATTTTCTACATTAATATCTTACATCTGATACTTGATTTTTTCATCCAGTATAGATACTCTCTGTAATTAATTATTACATATTTTGATTTTGGAATTTAAAAAAAAAAAACTTTTCTTTCGTTTCAAATCAAACGCCAATACTTTCAAAACTCTTGCATTTGGAATACTTTGCACCCTTTTTACTTCTAACCAAATAAACCCCAGGTGAATTATAGGCATTGTAAAAGATTTGAGCAACATTTTCTAAATCCTGAGTAATGTAATGAAGTCTTGTTATTACAACGGTTTGTTTCTTTATGATAGCCATTTTACTTTTCTAATAAGTATAACTTTTGCAGGTTGGTCTAGAATATTTAAATTTGGGAATATGTCCAAAATTAAATGCTCTACAGATTGAGGCACAAAAAATGTCAGTATTGGAATTAAAGGGCTGTGGCATGCTATCTCAGGCGTCAATTAGTTGTCCAAGTCTTACATCTTTGGATGCTTCTTTCTGCAGGTGGGACGTTTTCAGCATTTATTTTATATTCATTATTTTTTTACATGAATAGGTGCTAAAAGGGTTGCCTTACCTTATGTAGGCAATTTACGGATGACTCTTTATCCAGTACAGCAGCTTCATGTCCTCAGATTGAATCTTTGATCCTTTCATCATGCGTATTAATAGCGTTTGATGGGCTTTCTTCGTTGCACTGGCTTCAATATCTTACCCAGCTTGATTTGTCATACACATTTTTGGTGAATTTGCAGCCTGTTTTTGATAGTTGTTGTCAGCTGTTGGTGAGTTCTAATCTTTTAATATGCAGAATTTTGTAATGCTCTGTGAATAAGCAAGCATGCATTGTGCCATTCATACAATTATTTGTTAGTTCATATAACCTTACAGGCAGTTTTTGTGTTGGCCCTCCTTGAAAATAGATCTGGTGATCTAAAATTTATTTAAAATACTAATAGCTGTTCCCTCTTGATTTTAGCTCTAAGGTCTTTCTGGTTAGGTTTTAAGCCTTTTAAGCTTGTCAAACTGTTATTTTATCCTTCATTTAAAGTCAAAAACTTAAGGCTGAATTTATCCTACTTAAAAAACTTTTCCAGCGTAGAAGACTGTCCCTACTTACAATGCTTTACTCGTTTGGCGCCTTGGACAACTCAGGACAGTAGATGGAATATAAAAAAAATGGTGACTGGGCGATCCAAATGGTTATGTTCGTTTAAAATTTTTTCACTGGTTTGTGGATAAAATGTTGAGAAGGATTTGAGTGTCTTTGTTTAGATCTAGTAAAAACATATTCTATCATTCACAAGGAAATGTTTGAGACTTTCTTTGTCCTACAATCATTGTTTGGAAACCAACAAGTGATGAGGTAAAGCATAGCAGCCACATCACTTCCAAAAAGTTTTCTTATTTTCATGCAGCTAAATTTTATGAACCAAATTAAACTTAACTTAAACCTACTTCAAACAATGTTTAAAATTGCGTATTCGGGTATTGAGGCGTTTTTCATTCATGAGGCGAAGGCGTTTTGAAGCGTAAGCCTCAAAATCAAAAGATTGCGTAAACATAAAATGATAAATTTTTTATATGCTAATGAGTGAATAATATAAAACATAAAAAAACATAAGATATGAAGTGAAATCAAAATATCCCAATAATAAGACAACATGAAATATAGTTCAACTCAAAATTCTATCTTTCCCAAATCCCAGTATTCTTTTCATTAACATATAATTCCAATTTTCAAAAATAAATATTAAATAACAATGACATATCACATAATAATTCATAAGTCATCAACACTGTCATCACTAAGGGGTTATTCATTTGAATCATCATTATGATTAACTGCTCTCTCCCCTTCCTCCTCTCCTATAGAGTCCAATGTTGGGCATTTACTTCAAGATTTATGTAAGTTTTAACATATATAGTGTGAGGCGTAAGCCTCATGCCAGTGCGGGGGGGGAATAGAGAGAGAGAGGGGCACACTCACTAATTAAGACTAAAAATTCAAATTCGGTGGCTGTTTAGGGATTAAACTTTTATTCTTTTGCTTTAATTAGCCTTTTGGGCTAAGGTTTGTTTTACATCTGGAATTTAAAAGTTGATTTGACATCTAGGGTTTGTCTTGTGGGCTCTAGGCTTGGCTAGAGATTTGGAGAGTTGTTTCTTCTTCTCGAATTGAAAGAACTTGTACCGTGTGCTGTACTTTTTCTTCATTTAGTGAAATATACTATTTTCTCTTAGATTTTCCCTAGTTTTTACTGTTTTTCCTTGAGATTTATGTTGTGTGGTGGCTGTTTTCGGGAGAAAACAGCAGTTTTTTTGCTTGTGGACTCTTATTTCCTATCAAATTGGTATTATAGCGCGTCGATCTATGGGATATCAATGGCCGGAAGGAAAATTGAAGTATTGGAGGGAGAAATAGGTCAACTAAAGATAGATTTTGAGGAAAAAAACCACTGATTTTTATAATCAATTTGCTTCCATTCATGAAAAGATAGGATGGAAGGTTCGCCGCCTTGGAGGACATGATGAAGAAGATGCTTGAAGACCAACAAAATCTGGCGGCATCGGAAGTAAGGGAGACCGCCGGTGGTCATGCAAGAGCTTTGTTTAAAATTGCGCAATAAGAGGCGCGCCTTGAGGCGCGCCTTTGCGCAATTTGACCAAAAGACGCCTCGAGGCCTATGCAATTCCTCACCTGGAAGAGGCGCACCTCAGAGGCGCCATTGCGCAATTCTGAGTGAGGCGTACGCCTCACAGAAATGGCCACGTGCAGCACAAATGGCCAGCTTTATCCGTCCAGGCCAATCAATTGTCGGCCCATCAGATCTCCCATAGAGCAGTCGGTCTAAACTTCCATGGTAGAGCCTCTCAGAGACCAACATTCTTTGATCAGAACCCTCACGTGCATGGAAACCAAGCAACTTACAAAGTTGGGGATGCTGTAACGATGCTATGGTGTTCACCGCATTGATAAAATCATAAAATCTTTTAAATTCTGCTAGTATAAAGTATTCACAATTAGACATTACAATAAATAAAGTATCTAGGAATTGAAGGTAAATTAAACACCAATGTAAAAGCAGAATCGAGGTCATTGTTATGAAAACATAAAGAAATGCATGCAACATTGACATATAGTAGAAAATGAAAATTGTAAAGAAGAATGCTAATACAAAAATGTTAAGGGCATTATTAAGAAAGCATACATAAATGCAAACAACATATATAGCTCATGAATACTCCATTGCTATTTCAACTTTGGGAGTTTTGTTAAACTAATATTTTGTAATTTTGTACTTTGGGACGTGATTTTATTGCATCTATTTTCTTACTTTCCACTAGTTTCATATATCATTTAGAAGTTTTTATTGTAAGGTAGAATATTGTTATTATTTACCTACTAAAACCCTTAATTTCTCATTTACGCAATTCTATGTCCGTGAGGCTTACGCCTCAGACCGCCTCGAGGCTTAATTACGCAATTTTAAACCTTGTGCAAGAGGGGGAAATCCGAAACCGTTGAGGGGGAGGGAGAATCCAGAAATGGAGATCCTCGAGGGAGATGACAGAATGCCTCTTCTAGAACCTTTTTCTACGGAGGAGATGAGTATGGGCAACGAAAGGCGGGGTGCTGAATTTGTTGGGAGAAGGGGAGATTTTTACCTCCGAGGTGCTGATTTTGAAAGAAGAAGATGAGAATTTGATGAAGATGTTGGTTATGATCGTCGAATAGAAGATCGTGACAACTGGGGAGCACCTCCTTTTCGAGGCATGGGAGGTTATGGAGGATTTAGGGGAAACGGGGGTGATTCAAAGGTGAGAAAACTGAAGATGCCCATCTTTGTGGGTGAGCCGAATGATTAATTTGAGGTTATGGATACGAAATAAGAAATTTTATATCTATTTTTTTAATAAGTAAAATATGAAGTGCAAGAAGTGTTATATTTAAAAAAAAATCATAAAATATTTAAGACACATGTCAGACATGTGTGTCTAATTTATTTATAATATTGTTTAGTCAGATAGATTTTTGGCTTGTATAACACGTATCAGAGGTGTGTCGAACGCATGCATGTCTAATACATGTCAGATACTGCATTCCTCTTTGAGGTGAAGTGTCACGTGCATCTGATAGGAAATAAGAGCCCACAAGTAGAAAAATAGCTGTTTTCAGGAGAAAATAGCCACCACACAACATAAATCTTAAGGAAAAATAGTAAAAATAAGAAAAAATCTGAGAGGAAATAGTAGATTTCACTAAATGAAGAAAAAGTATATAACACGATACAAGTTTCTTCAATTCGAGAGGAAGAAACAAATCTCCAAATCTCTAGCCAAGCTTAGAGCCGACAAGACAAACCTTAGATCTCAAATCAATTTTCAAATTCCAAATGAAAATCAAACCTTAGCCCAAAAGGCTAATTAAAGCAAAATGATAAAAATTTAATCCCTAAACAACCCTGATGTAAGCACAGTAGATGGAAAATCCAAACAAGGAGACAAAAGGGTGAAACTAAACCAAACTCGATTCAAATAGTAGCAATCATCTATAACATCCAAAATCCGACCAAGAAAGCTAGAAGAGAATTCAAAGAAATAAAGAAAATAAAAACAATGCTATCCTCAGACAACCGTCAGAGCGGGTTCCTCACATGCATCGAAATGTGGGTTAAGTAAAATGAGTGCTTAAGGCTTGCAAACCGATGGTCCACCACTGCAAGATCGTCCAATTGTCCAATCTAAACTCGTCTAGCAAATTCTCCCAAACCAGCCAACAAACATCACCAAAGCTCAAGAAGAAGGATACAAATGGAGTGGAATTTGCGGAGAGACGAAAGAGGTTAGAAGCCGAGAAGAAGGGTGGAAAGTACTCGCAAGTCTTTCCTAGAGGAGATGAGAAGGAGAATGGAACAAGCTCGCAAGCTTTTCCAAGAACCCGCAGGTTTATAGCAAATTTGCTCTCAATAATCAACTCTTACTCCATCTCAAAACATTTTATATTTATAGGCAAGAGAGAAGAATACAAAGAGACAATTTATTGAATTCCCACAGGAATCCAAGCATCACAAACCACAGAAATCCCCCAACACTTCACGGGAAACAGCCCAGCCAAGGACCCAAAGAGGCAGCCACGGAACCAAAGAGACCCGCACAGAACCGAGGCGCCAAAAGGCACGGAAAAGCCACCCAGCACGGAAAACTAGCAGCCAACCGGGGAAACCAAGGAGCCATGGCACGGAAAAACAACCAGCACAGGAAGCCCAAAAACAGCCACGGAATCCCATGGGATAAGAACAAATTTTAAAGAAGAAAGGGGAGGAGAAGGGGCAAGACCACTCCGATAATGAATCCAACTTATGAGTTTACCTTAGAACATTAATGAGCTACTAAACTTCAACTCATCATTAATGTGCTAGAAAATAAGCACCATTCTCTTCCATACATCACCATAGGCTCCAAAACCGTGGACCATAAGCCAACCCGTGAACCAGCAGCAGCCAAGGACCAATCGAGCCAGCAAACCAAAGGTCTACCAAGCCCCAAGCACAACCTACCATGATCATTGGATAGCTAAAAAAAAAGAAAAGAACATTAAAAAACATACTAATGTTCAATATAAATAAAAATACAGAATATTTGATAGCATCAAACCCCCTAATTTGAATTTTCCTTCCAAAGCTAGGCTTAATTAGTGAGTGGGCCCCTCTCTCTTTCTCCTTGTCCCCCCCCCCCTCTCCCTCTTTTGGCCTCCGCCGATAGACATGAATATGTCCACTAG